AAGAAAAGAGAAACTTAAAATATAGGATACTTTAGGATAAAAAAAGACTGTAACTATAAGAGTGATTTAAATGGTTAACCATTTCACATATTTATCTATGCATTAACTATGCGTTAAAATTTGTATTTGTAGGATAAAATTCCTATCCTCCCATTAGTAATAATAAGGTTATTTTAATTATATACACTGCCGTTCAATAGTGTGGGATCAGTAAGACTTGTAAAGTTTTTAAAGACGTCTCTTCGGCTCATCAAGGCTGCATTTATTTGATCAAAAATACAGAAAAAAACAGCAATCTTGCAAAATGTTATTACAATGTAAAGTAATGGTTTCTATTTTAATATTCTTTAAAATATAATTTATTTCTGTGAAGCAAAGCAGAATTTCCATCATCATTACTCCAGTATAAAGTGTCACATGATCTTCAGAAATCATTTTAATATGCTGATTTATTATTAGAATTATCAATGTTGGAAACAGCTGTGCTGCCAATATTTTTTTTGGAAACCGATACTTTTTTCAGGATTCTTTGATGAATAAAAAGTTAAAAAGAACAGCATTTATTCAAAATATAAATCTTTTCTAACAATATAAATCTTTGCTATCACTTCTTAACGATTTAACACGTCCTTGCTGAATAAAAGTTTAAATTTCTTTCAAAAAAGAAAGAATAAAAATGTACTGACCCCAAACTTTTGAACGGTAGTGTATATTGTTAGAAAATATTTCTATTTTACGTAAATGCTCTTCTTCTTAACTTTTTATTCATCAAAGAATCCTGAAAAAAGTATCACCGGTTCCAAAACAATATGAAGCAGCAACAGTTTCCAGCAATAAAACTGATAATAAAGCAGCATATTATACTGATTTCTGAAGATCATGTGACACTGAAGACTGGAGGAATGATGCTGAAAATACAGCTGCACATCACAGAAATACATTACAGTTTAACAGAGACTCACATAGAAAACAGCTGTTTTACATTCTAATAATATTTTTAATTTTTTCAGTTTTTACTGTATTTTTAATCAAATAAGTGCAGCCTTGATGAGCAGAAGAGACTCCTGTAAAAAACATTAAACATCATTCTGATCCCAAACTTTTGACCGGCAGTGTATATTTTTTATTCTGTGAAATTCTTATTTAAATATTAGAACATTGTACGTTGTGTTCGTTTCAGGACATGGATTACACATGAACTCTTCTGAACATTTCTTAAACATTTCTCAAGAGCTAGGAAAGAGAAGAAGTTCCTCTTAAAACCAAACACAGAATGTGAGTAAATCCTCAGCAGTGAAGATGGACCTGATGCCTCCTGCTGGTCAGCAGCCGAGCCTTTTATTTATTTATTATTAGTATTATTATTTATTTAATGGTTTATTTAATTATTATAATGTGTTTCATTATTATTTATTTTATTATAATGTATTTATTTATTTATTTTTATTATTATTATTTATTTAATGGTTTAATTATTATAATGTGTTTCATTATTATTTATTTTATTAT